TTTCAAATAAAATAAAAATATTTTTTTTAATTTTACATTCATAGAAAGAAAATGTGTGCAGAGTGTGTGACAGCAAGTTTCAGAGTTCTGTTTCAGTGCTTACACAGCAAAGACACAGACAGGGAAGGAGACTGACAGACGGGAGAAAAGGAAGGAGAGACAGAGATTGTGTGAGTAGGACTGTGCCAAAGGGCAGAATTACAAGCAATATTAAAGGGGATATTTTGTGTGCGCGGGGAAATACGGAGGGATTTGTAAGGGCAGGAGAGACTGTCAAAGATTAGGAGGCACAGAAGAGGAACTGTGAGAGTGGAGGGGTCATGAGAGATATGGGAACTGTGAGAGAAAAGTAAGGATTGTGAGAAAAGAAGGCGATTGCTGGGGGGAGTGGAGTTGCAGGGACAGGACTATTTGAAAATGTCAGGAGAGAACCTGTGGGGGAGTGAGTGAGAGGCACTGTACCGGGGAACCCACTTGCTTGCTCCGGGAAAGAGAGGCAGGGACTGAAGGTCCTGAAACTCATTACCACCATTTTCCAGATGAGGAAACTGAGGCTCAGATAAGTCAACTGACTTGCTTGAGATCACTGAGCTAATAAGTGGCAGAGCTGTGATCTGAACCCAAAATGATCCAACTCTAACATCAGTACTCTATCACACCACACAGCTTTCCCTAAAGAAGTCAAGTGACTGGTCCAAATATGTACTTTTACTCCTCTGTACAGAGTTCTTTTAACGGCCTTTAAAATCATTATTTTGGGAGTCAGCACTATGGCAGGATACGTCACAGCCTGCGACACTGAATCCCAGATAGGAGTGCTTGTTTGAGTCCTGGCAGCTGTGAGCTTCCAACCCAGCTTCCTGCCAATCCATTTGGGACGGCACTGAAGATGACCAGATTTCTTGGGCCTCTGCCACCCACATGGGAGACACAGATGGAGTCGCTGGCTCCTAGCTTTGGTCTGGCCCAGACCTGGCTGTTGCAGCCATGTAGGTAAGTCAATCAGCAAATGGAAGATCTCTCTCTCTCCCTCCCTCCCTCCCTCCCTTTCAAATAAATACATTTTTAAAAAAGTACATTTTGGGTGGCTGGCGCTGTGGCATAGTGGGTAAAGCCACCGCCTGCAGTGCTGGCATCCCATATGGGCACCAGTTCATGTTCCAGCTGCTCCTCTTTTGATCCAGCTCTCTGCTATGGCCTGGAAAAGCAGTGGAAGATGGGCCAAGTCCTTGGGCCCTTGCACCTGCATGGGAGACCAGGAAGAAGTTCCTGTCTCCTGGCTTCAGATCAGCCCAGCTCCAGCTGTTATGGCCATATGGGGAGTGAACCAATGGATGGAAGACCTCTCTCTCTGTCTCTACCTCTCTCTGTAACTCTCTCAAATAAATTAATAAAACTTTCTATTAAAAATACATTTTTAAAGATTAATTTATTTATTGGAAAGGCGAAGTTGCAGAGGCAGAGAAAGAGAAATCTTCCATCTGTTGGTTCACTTCCCAGATGGCCGCAACGGCCGGAGCTGTGCCAATCCAAAACCAGGAGCCACGAGCTTCTTCCTGGTCTCCCACATGGGTACAGGGTCCCAAGGGCTTGGGCCATCTTTTACTGCTTTCCCAGGCCATAGCAGAGAGCTGGATCGGAAGTGGAGCAGCTGGGACTTGAACCGGTGCCCATATGGGATGCCAGCACTGCAAGCGGTGGCTTTACCCACTATGCCACAGCGCCGGTCCCCCCCAAAATTACATTTTTGAAAAGGGAGATGGAATTATCCTACTACCCAACTTATTTCTTTGGACTTCATTAAAATTTAAAACCTTTGCATGTGTAAGGACATAATCAACACAGTGAAAAGGAGAGCTACAGAACTGGAAAAAATATCTGCAAGTCATATATCTGATAAGGGTTAATATCCAGAATGCATGAAAAACTCCTACAAGTCAACAACAATAAAACAACCCAAGTAAAAAGTGTGTAAAGAAGTTAGAGACATTTCTCCAAAGAAGACATCCAAGTGGCCAATAAGCCATGAAAAGATGTTCCACATAACTAAGCATTAGGGAGATGCAAATCAAAACCACAAGATACCACTTCATTCCCATTAGGATAGCGACTATTTAAAAAACAGATAGGGCCAAGCGTTTGGCCTAGCAATTAAGACCCTGGTTGGAAGGTCAGCATCCCATAAGGACATGCCTGTGTTCAAGACCTGGGTTTGAGTCCCAGCTATGCTCATGATTTCAGCTTCCTGCTAATGAAGACCCTGGGAGGCAGCAGATGATGGCAAGTCCTTGGGTCCCCACCACTCATGTGGGAGACCCATATTGAGTTCCACGCTCCTAACTTAAGGAGCTGTTGCAAGCATATAGAGAATGAACCAGCAGAGGGCAGCTCTGTCTCTCCCCCCTCTCTTTCATAAAAAATAAAAATGTAAGGCTGGCGCCACGGCTCACTAGGCT